TCCGTTGGCCCGACACCATCAGCAACAATCTACTATGGGAAAGAACAAACAGGATTCCAGAGGAGATGGAAATCAGGAAGAAGCGCTCGCAGTGGATAGAACAAACAATGCAGAAAGCACCCAACTGCGTCCTAACTTGGAACCCTCAAGATAAAAGGAAAAGGAGGCCAAAGAACACATTACGCCGAGAAATAGAGAAAGATATGAGAAGAATGAACAAAAACTGGAAAGGACTGGAAACGGTAGTCCAGGACAGAGTAGGTTGGAGAATACTGGTCGGCGGCCTATGCTCCAATGGGAATAACAGGCGTAAGTAACTGATTAAGTAATATTTTATTTAATCAGGTTATTTCGTGTAAGTTACTTACTAATGAACACGTGTTAGGCATAATAATGCCAGATAAATATTAATACTCAAGATGTTATTGGTTGAAAATAGTATAGGCTGTCTAAGGCAATGGTTATTTATTGTCTACTTACTTACATATTCCTGTCACTCCCATTGGAAAATAGGCCGCTGACCAGTATTCTCCTGCCTACTGTGTCCTGGGCCTGCCTTTTTATTTCTGTCTAAATTTTGTTCATTCTTCTCATGTCTATTCCCATTTCTCGAACTAATGTGTCCTTTGGTCCTCCTCTTTTCCACTGACCTTGAGGGTTCCAAGTGAGGGTTTGTCTTCTGATGCAGCTTGGTGCTTTCCTCAATCTGTGTCCTGTCCACCTTCAGCGAATCTTCCTTATTTCTTTGTCTGTTGGAATCTGGTTTGTTCTCTCCCATAGTTGGTTGTTGTTGGTGATGTCTAGTACAACGCATCCAAAAGTATTTTGCGTAAATAACTGTTAATGAATACTTGTATCATCTGTATGGTAGTTTTCGTAGTTCTCCAAGTAGAATAGAACTATCTTGAAATTTCTATTGAAAAGTATGACTTCGGTGTTGGTTGACAGTTGTTTTGAGTTCCATAGGTTTTTCAATGGAAAAATGCTGTTCTTACACTTCACCAATCCGGCTCTTCACATCTGGATCAAATCAAACGTGCCCATTAATGCTGCTGCCTAGTTATATAGAGTGTGCGCACTGATGATGAGTCCCGTACCAGGACGAAACAGCCGTCCAGTGCAACTAGGTTTGGGATGGTGTCCTAACAATGATTGATTCTTAATCTCACTGAAAATTAATAATCTTTATCATTCTGTTGTATCGTTTTTATGCATTCACTATTACAAAACTGTTTTATGCTTATATATTTTTCTCCAATTATCTCAATCCTAATAGGGATGCTTTACTTCAACCTTGTTCATTTACAAAAAATCCTATGTTTCAAAGTATCACATCAATAGAAGATTATCAATCAACACTCAAGCATACTCATCAATTCGATCTTTCTTCAACATTTATCTATTCTCTTGCTCAAGCTGGTACAATCAATGTTAATACAATACATCATAGTTTAACTGGTGGTCGACCATTTTGTTTTGTTTTCACCGGTCCATATGTACAAATGTCTTCTACTGGGGAAAAAGAAAATTTATGGTTAGATGATAAAACTTTATTTACACGGATATTTGCTACAGAGAGTTGGGAATCATGTACTCGATGGATAAAAAGGTAAGCTTGTTACATTTGCATTTTTGTAAGAAAAATGTAATATTCATTTTTTTTATTGATCAATGAATGAGAAAGTAGCTTCAAGGCGAACTGTCAACATATGTTGCATAATCATAAATGACTCACTAACTAACTGACTGACCAGTCATAGTATTCCTTTCCTTTCTGATTCACAAATCATGTGAACGTCAATATCTTCCTACACACACAATTTTTTTACCACTCATGTTATATATTAACCAATAGCAATTGAGAATGATTGACTACAGCTAGTTGGTTAATTTGAAGTGTCGTTATTTGATTGGTTAATTTTACATAACTTTCGTATTAGTAATCTGATTGATTGTCAAGCCCGACATTTTGTGTTACAATAGTGAATATCACATGGTTGGATTTAAGCCCGTGTGTTGTGTAGTAGTTTTAACTGAAGCAATGGATTTATGAATTTAATTGTCCAATTTTAATGAGTTAAGGATTATTGTTATTATGTTTGCATGATATGACAATGTCCACTGTTGTAAACAATCCGTTGCATAACATCAAACCTAATGATACTGTATTTCAACCGACAACAACTACCATAGAGTCGAATAACGAATCGAAACAAAATCATATGAGTCTTAGCACTAATGATATTTTTCATATGGATAAGAAGAAAACAAAATCTACTACTAACGGAATGGCATATTCTTCACTAGTCCTTATGTCATCTTATGATAGTTGTCGCGGATTATTCAATGATGAACTTCATCAATATGGTAGTCAATCATTACCATCAACTAGTACTCGTTCGTATGCAAAACAATTGATTGATTTATTCCCTGTATTTGGTGGTAAACGTAAAACTATTAGTTATTTTCAAAAAACATCCTCATCAATTACATTGACAGAAGCATCACGTAAACATTATAATGATTTATGGGTTGGTTCATTAAAGTGAGCAATTTCGTTTCAGTGTTGTTTTTTTGTTAAACAAATTCATTTTTTACGATGATCAATTTGGATTGAATATAGTTGTTATCTTGTTGTATTTTGTGTTCAATATTAAATTGAATAAAATTAAACCGATTTAATCAATCATTTTAAAACCTATGATTCAATATTCAATCAGTATGTAATTTTTCACTTGATGATTTCATTGGTGATTTGTCAGTTTTTTTAGAGTAAGAGATTAGATTATGAATTTTGGGTGGATTGGATTTAGGCAGTTTCAAATTTCGGTTATGATCAGTTTGGTCTCGTGTGTTGTTACGGGTTTGAGAGAGGATTATCACTTCCCGACTGTTCACACCGTGGGAAGGGGTTTCTTGGGGAACGTGAAATGAAAGTTGGATTAGTGCTGGTCTTATCGACCTGAGAGCGTAACCACAGAGCCCGAGGGACAAGTGCTTGAAGCCGGTCACGAAGTCTTTTTACGGGAAGATTGTTTAGTGCTTGCTGCTCTCTTCAAGTTGCCTTACCGCCGGAGACGGAAATCCCTGGTTATCCGAGGGGAGCAATTTACTGCCATCATACATTTTTACAGTCAGCAGTATGACTTCGCCCTCAGACCCTGATTTGTTGGTTTTAGTCTCACCTACAAGAACATATGTTACAGCCAATATATCTCGGTTGGGTCATCACGGTAGGCAAGATTGACCACCACGTCAAGGTAGCAGCTACGGCCGGGCGTTTCAATTTATAAGTTAGCTCTCAGTCAGCAATTATGTGTTTGCTGAAAATAAATATTCAAAAAAAAACAATTTTACATTTTTTTCACAGTAGTACTGAAAACATGTATGCACAATTCTGATTTTTTATATCAGTAATTATGTAGTCTGTTAATAACATTTAATGACATTATTCAGTACAGAAGTATCTGTGTAATTTTCAACCAAGTCCAAATGTATTCTTTAAAGTCTTTTTATCAATCCTGCGGGATGCAAGAGTCTTGGGTGCGCACTACCACTGATGAGTCCCATACCAGGACGAAACGGCCGTCCAATGCTTCCAGGTTTCTAATGATGGTCTAGCATTGATCGATTCATGATTTCAAAAACTAATTTTTTTTACCAGTAAGAAATAAATAAACGTTCAGTTTGAACTGAATTCTCATCACTTATGATATCAATTAGAATAAAGAACTTTTTCCGTTTGCATTTTCATTGTTTCAAAGGCAACATGAACTGATGTACTTACGTACGAAGTTCTACGTTGCAACTGACTGACTGAATGCAAAAAAACACTGTGAAAATATTCATGTATTCCTACTGAACTTTATATATTTGATTAAGTGGGTTAAATTAACAGCTCTTTGATTTATCATGTCATATTTACAATGCTATTCAGTTCAGTGTATTCATCCTCATTACTTACTTACTTACGCCAATTATCCATAGTGAAGCATAGGTTGCTTACCAGCATTCTCCAACCTACTCTGTCTTGAGGTTTCTTTTTTAGTTGTACTCAATCGTTTCTCATTATTTATCATTATACTGTCGATAAATGATAAACGGCATCGGTTCAATACTTTGTTGTAGACTAATTTTTATTCACCAATGACCTTGACTTTTCTTGAGTTAGGGGCGGCCAGATCAAAACATGGCAGAAATCCATGAAGTGATTGACGAGTGGACTTAGCCATGTCGGTAATTGTCGACTACCTGGTTGGGGTCCGCGAGATAATAATAATCGATGGTTAGGGACCCTGTATGAGATGGCTCAAAATTGTTCGCAATGGCGCCGGTGCATTTATTCTTTGTGTTCTCTCAAATCCTAATCTTCTAGATTCTTCAACACCTCTACTTTTGACTTTCTAAACTTTTCGCACTGAATAATACTTCTTGAATAATATCTTCTAATCCTAACCTCTCCGATTACTTCTAATTCCCTTACTACCTCTTCTACTATTGGATTTGAATTGACAATTATATCTCTGTGCTGATGTGGTATGGCGACATGAACTGATGTACTTACGTACGAAGTTCTACGTTGCATCTAACTGACTGACTGACATGACTTGAATTTTCTTGACAATATTTTCATAGATTGAAAATTTATACATTCTATTTTTAAACTTATTATATTCTATCAATAAATTGTGAAGTATATTTATAGTATAAAATTAAGAAATAATACAATGATGCTGTCTTCATTTACAAGACTAATTTGATGTTTGAAATTTCCCCAGCTAGTTCTTACAATCTATTTTTATGTAATGACATTTAAGCCTTGGTTGTACTCTGTGAAACTTCATCATTTGAGGTGTTTTGGACATGTGTTGAGAATAGCCAACCACCGATTGCCTCGATGAGTTATGTTTAGTGGTGTAGGAGTAGGTTGGAAGAAAGCTAAGTGCGGCCACATGGCACAAACCCATGAAGTCACTGACAAGTGGACTGAATCATGTTGATAAGTGTAGACTATTTGGTTGAGGTTCACGAGGCGATAGTAATCCATGGTTAGAGACTTTGGAAGACATGGTTAAAATTTGTTTTCTATGGCGTCGGTGCATCCACTCGTTGTGTTCTGTGAAATTGTAATCTAACCTTTCTCTATTCTTCTCGAATAATATCTCTCCGAATACTGCTAGTAATTCTACCACTATGGTATTTGAATTGACAATTGCGTCTCTGTGCTCACTCGTTATGGCAGCTTGAACTGATGTACATACGTACGAAGTTCTATGTTGTAGCTGACTGTGCTCTTTTTGTTTGTATCAAAATCGATTCAAAGTAGTTTGATATGGTCGTATTTTTCCCTAGATGTCACCAATATTAATTGAGTTGATTGTTCTAACCACCGTCTGCCGCGACGAGCTATGTTTTGTGGAGTAGGTTGGAAGAAAGCTAGAGGCGGCCAGACCAAAACATGGTAGAAATCCATGAAGTCACTGACAAGTGGACTGAGTCATGTTGGTAGATGTAGGCTGCTACCTAGTTGGGTTCAGCGAGATAAAAGTCACTAATGGTTAGAGAGCTTTAACGACATGGCTCAAAATCGTTTGCAATGGCGCAGGTGCATCCATTCGTTGTGCTCTCTCAAATCCTAATCTTCTGGATTCGTCAGCACCTCTACCTTTGTCTTTCTAATCTTATCTCACTGAATCATACTTGAATAATATCTTCAAACCCTAGTCTTCTTCATTACCATTAATACCTCTACTATCTTTATCACTATGGGATTTGGTTTGACATTTGCGTCTCTGTGCTCATATGGTATGGCAACATGAACTTATGTACATACGTACGAAGTTCTTACGTTGCAACTGACTGACTGAGTTGATTGTTCTGAACCGAACTTTGTAAAATATTCCTGCTACTCAATCCCATATCGATAATTTCACTGTAATTATTTTTCTGAGCAAAAGAAACAATGCCTAAATAAAATTTAATTTTTTTTACAGTTGTAAATTTATCCTCATTCAATGAGACTTCATAGGAAGAATTTCTAGGATGACATCACATGACCTCTGGTTCATTATTTGTCAAGTTTTTTGTTTGAATACAAACTAAGCTTGTCATCTTGAAAAAGATGTGATGTTGCTCAAAATTCAAGTAGAATTTGATATCATGACACCAATAATATAACTATTCAATTATCAATTTGATTAGAAAAAAGATTGATCAATCGTAAACTTATAAATTTTGTACACTTTTTTGTTGAACACGAAAACTCGTTTATATTCAATGTGGCATATAAACCTAATGTCAGTAGCACTTCTACTATCGCTACCGCCTTATGAGATTTGAACTGACAGTTTCATTTCTGTGCTGACGCGGGTATGACAACCTGAACTTATGTAATCCTGTTCGAAGAGTTGTATGTTGTAATTGACTGATAAACTTAGTATTCTATCTGTTTCAGATAGAAAATCGATTGACCTAAATATGAATTATTCAGGGTCTATATTCTATTTACTAAGATAGTTTTGATATAATTAGTCCATATGGCTTATTGACGAAAATGTTAGCAATGTGAAATGAAACGTAATAATATTTTATTTGAATTCTATTGAAAATTATGAAAAGGTTGATGAATGCCCACACTGGGTAGGACGAAATGGCCGTCCAATGCTTCCAAATTCCTAATAGCGGCCTAACATAGATTGATTCCTAAAGACACTTACACATAGTTTAGTGATTCATCTGAAAACGAAGACATAAACACACATACTTCAGATATTGTTAACTCCAAGTTTGCAAGCGTAAGCTTGCTTTGTTAGACGGTTAGTGTAGGATCCAAACTGAGGTTTGGATTGAAGAATAACTGTCTAGGTAGGTTAGATACGCGTCTTCACCAGTTGAAATCAAAACGAGTGACTCGGGCAAATAACTGTTCTAACATTCATCATAAATATAAATTTACATCGTTACCTAAACAATATTACCACTCAGTTATCCCATCAACAGTTGTTCAACAGCAACCAATAAACAATGATATTCTATCCGGCGTAGGTAGATCACATTTGTTGGAAAGAAAATATTTGGTTGCTTTATAACACAGTGTTTCCAATTCTGGAAGAGTGCTTCAATTCACAATCAAAATGCACAATTCCAGTCCACGCAAGCAACATAATCAAAAGAGGAACAGATCAGTGTGGCTGTTGCCATAACTAAGTATCAGCTTAAACAACATGAATGCAGTTCAGAAAGAAACATAGAAACTCAGTAAAGGCAAAAGAAATAGAAACTATAATAAAATACAAATATTATCATCTCAAAAATGGAATCGAACAGATTAACAAAATGTACAACTGAAGGAATCAATAAGGACAAATTACAAATGTATACAACACGGAGAGATTTTCACAAACAAAGCCTTCCAAGAATGGATCTTACAGTTAGTAAATTAACTAAGGAAAGAATCGTTCATTTTAATAGCTTACTGTTATTGAAGAAAGTTTTAAAGAGTTGAATAAGTCACTCTGCTGTATTTATTTGTATTTCAAATCCAAGGCCA